AATATCAGCAGACTCCCAGAAATCTAGTAAGTAAAGCCACTTGGATTAAAGACAGTGGGGAATTGCTCAGTGTCCCACCTTAGAGTCCCCTGCCTTTCCTATATTGAGTCCTGAGGCACCTCTGTGGAAACCTCAGGGCTCGGTGATGACAGTTTAAAAGCCACCTCCCTGGGGCTTAACTGCCAGTTCTTTCCCAATCCTTCTACTACATCCTTGCTCTTTCAAAAAGTCTGGACATGACTGTTATATCCCTCTACCTAAAATAGTAAGAATTTGTAGATATTCCTTTTTTATTTGCTGGGACCTGCTAGATATTTATAAATAAAATAATATAAACTACCAAATCTCTTCCTCCTATTAGTGATGATTGGAAATGACAATGAAAAAATACATTAAGAAGTTACAGATGTTGGAATCCTTAAATTTAGAATTAATTCTTAGATAAGTAGTCACACTCAAATTGCAGCCAGATCAATTTATGTAAAATAAATGAACATACATCTAATAACTTTAAATGGATAGTTAAAATGAGGTAAGAGAGCATGGCTTTTGCTCTTAGAAATATTTAAGACATGCCAATAGGTGATGCATCCATAGAGCCCCAGCTACTCAGTGGGGCTGAGGCAAGAGAATTGCTTGAGCCTAGTAGTTTAAGGTTACAGAGTACCACGACTGCACCTGTGAGTAACCACTGCCCTCCAGCCTGAGCAACAAAGTGAGAACCCATCTCTGAAAAATAAGGTTAATGTCCATATTCACAGAGAAGCTGACATAAATCCTCAAAGAAAATAATATATTTTGGAGGTTCATTTTAGTACTACAAGCCTCCACCCAGTTTTTCATATACCTTTACTCAGAAGCCCACCTCTCACAGGCTGGGAAAAAGAGCATTAATTCTCTTTTCCTGTCTTATTTCTCCCCTACTAAATAAAAGCAATTAAAACTTGGTGGTTTGCTATCCATAATCTAGTCTTTTCTATGGTCACATAGGCAAAAATATCAGATATTTTGTAAACATCATGGTGTTAGAAATAGCTTTGTCTATGTCTTCAAGCATAGGGCTGATCATAAATACATTAAAACAAAAAACTTTTTATTCATCAGAACTTGGAATCACTACTTGTAAAGACCATAACAGAGTTAACAGAACAGCCCTAGAACACATATTTAAATTTGCAGTCGGTGTTAAGTAGAAAAATTATGACTCGGTCAACACCTCCTTGATAGGCTGATCTTGCTTTTCCCGAAGCACAAGGACTCCTCACTATTACATAATTGTAGCCTAAAGGGCCTAGAACATGAGTGACCACCTCTCAGCTGTGAGCAAGACCTCCCAGGATCCAGGGAATGAATAGCTCATTAAATTGCTGTAGGGTACTAATTATCCCTTCCACATTTGTAGCCAATTGGTTTATTGCAAGCACTGATCTTCTACAAAGAATATTGGCAACCTCGGCCGGGTGCAGTGGCTCCCACTTGTAATCCCAGCACTTTGGGAGGCCGAGGCGGGCAGAACATGAGGTCAAGAGTTTGTGATCAGGTTTCAGAGCCTGAAACCCCGTCTCTACTAAAAATACAAAAATTAGCTGGGCATGGTGGCAGACACCTGTAATCCCAGCTACTCCAGAGGCTGAGGTGGAGAACTGCTTGAACTTGGGAGGTGGAGGTTGCAGTGAGCCAAGACCACGCCACTGCACTTCAGCCTGGTTGACAGAGCTAGACTGTGTCTTCAAAAAAAAAAGAATATTGGCAACCTTTGGCTGGGCATTGGCCTGTTCCCCAAGGACAATTAGCCCTTCTGAATTTTTGGCCAATTCCCAAATTAGCTGCCCGTTTCTGGCCATTTCTGCAGACACAGTACTGGCTAACAAGTGGTAGTTGTGCCTCCTCCGCTGAGAAGGTGGCTGGTTGGGCAAAGCCACATTTTCTTTTTTTTTTTTTTTTTTTTGAGACGGAGTTTCGCTCTTGTTACCCAGGCTGGAGTGCAATGGCGCGATCTCGGCTCACCGCAACCTCCGCCTCCTGGGTTCAGGCAATTCTCCTGCCTCAGCCTCCTGAGCAGCTGGGACTACAGGCACGTGCCACCATGCCCAGCTAATTTTTTTTGTAGTTTTAGTAGAGACGGGGTTTCACCATGTTGACCAGGATGGTCTTGATCTCTTGACCTTGTGATCTACCCGCCTCGGCCTCCCAAAGTGCTGGGATTACAGGCTTGAGCCACCGCGCCCGGCTAAAGCCACATTTTCATTAGGCTTAGATGAAGAAGCAAGGGGTAACTTCACAGAGGTGTTCAGAGATATTCCTGCATCCTTGGAGATGCTGCTGGAAGTGTTGTCTCTGGTGAAACCTTACAAACAGGCTGCAAAAGAAAATAAGCATGTTGCCAAATGGTCACCTATATGAGAAAGCATCATAATTAGCAATATAAAGTAGATTGCTCCAGACATCTTCGCTAGCAGTGCTATTTAAGCTAGACTCAGAAGACAGCATACATTTTTCTTTGCCTAAATAACAAGACTAGATCTCTCTTCC